AGTTTTTGAGAGCCTTTGTAGAGAGTTATTGGAGAACGTTCTTAGTATTAGAGATTCATTAGTTTTCTTAGAGATTATTCTAGCGATTTTAGTTTTCTTGGATTGATTTGAAGCAAGATTTGTGAAGATTCTTTGTATTATCCATTGACGACGGATATCAAAGTTCTAAACTTTTCCATTGATTCGCATCAATACAATTGGTATTATTCATTCTTGTTTATTAATCTAGCTTTATTATTCCTTAATCAGAATTTATGTTTAGATCTATGATGTTTATGGAATCTATTATTGTTGTGATTATGAATAAGTGTGAGTAGTTTCCTAGCTAGGGTTTCGGGATGAAACCCGGCCTAGGTAATCTACGCAATTAAGGTTTGATTTTGATAAACGGATTGTGATTAAATTGATTATATGCGATTGCATGTTGATTCACTATAATAGGAGTAGCTAACCTAGAATCTTGAATTTGATTGCATGTTATTCTTGGTTTGAACAAGAGATTGTGAATTGAGTATTTCATTATTGAATGTGGTTTGATTATGTATCGAGTAATGTTGAGTGCATGAGAAATCCAAGCTTAGTATTGCTCGTTGTCTTCCTATCGCACGATATTGATCAGACATATAGTCTTTGCATATCCCGTTTGTCTCTATGATTCCTTGTTGCGTAGTTACCGATGGTTTGGTGAATTCCCGTTCTCCCTAATGTCTTCGTTTATTGATTTATTCCATCTTTTTAGTAGTATTTTAGAACACCATTTTCCATTGATTTCGAACTAGCTTAGGTTTAAGATTGATTTGCAATTACTCTCGTTCCTCGTGGACCGAACCTTTATTTGCCATTGTACTTGGTTATAGGGTGTTCGTATAAGTATTGTTTGATTGAGAGTTAGATTGTAGCGACCGATTTAACCCTTGTCATATATCTTTATTTTCATACAAGTAAAAAATATAAAAACGTTATATTAATAAAATATATAATGATACAAATTTAGAAAGATCACTCATGAAGTCATGAGTCATGACTCATGAGTCTCGTGACAAAATTAAGTTTTACTGTTTTATAGATTAGTGGTAATTTATGGTCAATATTTTCAAAGTTTAACCCCAAAAATGACAAAGGGACAAAATAAAGGGACGGATGGAGTATTAAAATAATAGTTAGAGATGGTGTAGATCATTATACTTAAACTACACGAACAATGATCCTAATTTAATTTAAAACAACAACTCAAGTTATTGATCCAATCAAAATAATGTTCACTAATTTATAATTTTGTACTAATACATACGAAGTATTTAACTATGAGATGGTTAGATGCTATGCGTTAATGTGTACATACGATCGATTGAACTAATCAATATTACCTTGTTAATAAATCATTAATGTTTTCTTTCATTACACAAATCAAACTACTTTGTAATATCTTCATAATTTCATGAAAATATATAAAGATAAACGAGCCATAATTATCAGTCTTGTTGATTAATCAAGTATCGAATTACCAAATTGCAAATTTCCATTTAATAAGAACTCATCAAATCATGACTATGACACTAGTATTTAAATGATTAAATAAGAAACATATAACAACCTAGTTGTAAAAGAATAATACATTAATTCACTAACTTTTATAATCTACTTCGTAATACACTAGTAAGATCAGTATGACTAAACTTGAAACAGAACATGATATATATTTATAAAATCAATGTGAATTTGTTTATAATATGATGCCTAAATATGAAATGATGAAGTCTCGACTTTATATAAAACTTGTTAACCAGCAAAAGGTTAGCAAATACTATCAAATTTCAAACCAAAACCATTTAACTGCCCAAATCCAAACGACTCGATAAACAATCGATTTTTTGAAACCGAAAACCGACCCGAATCGTAATTTAGTAAACTCGGAATGGAACCGATCCGAATAACGTTAAACCGCAGAAGAACCGAACTAGTTATAAATTGAACCAAAAAAGAACCGGATCAGTTATAAAACGAACCGAAAAAAACCGAACCAGTTATAAACCGAATCAAAAAAGAACCGAACTGTTTCCAACCCGAAACCGCTTCCAACCTGAAACTGTTTGAATCGGGATAAAAACTGTTTACACCGAACCATTAACAAACCGCAACCCGTTTGCATCGAACCGTTTACTACCCGGACTGTTTACAATCCGAACCGAATTAAAACCGATCTAGATTAAACCGAAACTGAATCGAACCGATAAATATTTAAACTGAACTGAAACCGACCCGCGAGACACTTAAACCGATTTCAAACCGACCCGATTTAATACCGAACCGATTTCAAACCGAACAAAACCCGAACTGTCAAACCGTTTGACAGAATGACGCATGCTAGCTATGTTACCCACTTACCCGTATAATTATTGCCAATTTCTAGAAAAGCCTGTGTCGTGTTTTGTGCTCCATGGATCTCGCCATAAAGGAGGCAAAATCACAACCTCATGGACTAATAGTCTAGAGAATTGATCTTGCATATCCACTTTTTACACTTTTTTTTTTAATTATTATTATGTGGACTTGACTTGTTGACTATGTAAGTCATGGATTTCCCATTACTTTTGCATATAGAATTTTAAAAGGTTTCCTACATTCATTTCAACCTGAAATGATACTTGTAAATGATTGATTATTGTATGGGGTGATCCAAGGAAGAAAATTTCTGATGTAGCTTCTCCTGAGGAGTATGGAGTTTCATAATCTAAACATTTTTTATTGCATCCTGTTTATCAAGTATACTGCATTAAGAACGCAATCACTTGAAAACGTCCGAACTCTTAACCAAATTTAGAGTGCCTTATATGAATCTAAGAGGTCTATGTATGTGCTTTCTCCCTGACGTTCAGATGATGATCAGTATTGTAAATCCGTTTCATATGAGATTTTGTTTCTGTGAGAAACGTTTTTGTTTCTCATAGTGGCAGTTTCGTAAATAAAATGTACCACCGTGACTAAAGTAGTACAATTTTATCATCTATTTCGTAAATAAAATGTACCACCGTGACTAAAGTGGTACATTTTATTTACGAAACTGCCACTATGAGAAACAAAAACGTTTCTCACAGTGACTAATGGAGGCGCCCTCTTTATTATCAGCCTAAATTAATAAACATATTTATATTCGCAATCTTCACCTGTAGGCTTCTGGCACCTCTCCCTAAGCTTCTTGGAGCAGTTTTTTAGTGTAAGCCCCTTCAAACTGGAAAAGTTGGCAATACATTCTGGTATGGCCTTGAGGTCTTCACATTTGGCTATTGTGAGTGTCTCCAAGGAGGACATGCTTCAATCTGGGGAATGCTTGCTTCTTTTCAAGGAGATCATACTGAACCGTGTCGGTATCGTCGTCGGCGTCGAGGAAGCTAAGGTCCTCGTCGGAGTCGGTGGTGGCGGTGGTGAGAGAGAGGAGGAGGAAGGAAGAGAGGAAGAGGGTGAGGATGAGTTGAGTCGGCATTGTTGAAGATGGGAGTGATCGGAGGTTGGGAAATGTGAAAGGAGCGAAAATGTAGGGAGTGAAGTGTTTGGGGTCCGTTTGGTAGGGTGTAAAACATTTTCAATGTAAAATGGTTTTCCATGAAAATCATTTTACAATGGAAAACTCTTTTTCAAAAAAGTTTTCCGTTGTTTGGTTGAATGAAAAATGATTTTCCATTTTAAGCATTTTTCATTGTTTGGTTGAACTGAAAATTCAATTGTGAGGGAAAATGTTTTCCCTTCACTTGTGATGGAAAATGTTTTCCTTCTAAATTGGAAGGAAAATGTTTTCAATAGGGTGGAAAATGATTTTCCACCCCAAGTTTTACATTTTAATGTTTTACACCAAACCAAACAATGTAAAATGGAAAAACACTTTTCAGTAAAAATGTTTTACGCCCTACCAAATGGAGCCAAGTGAGTGTAATAGGGTTTAAGAAGAGAGTGATAAAGTCAGGAATTTTAGGATTACTTAATTAATTTAAGATTAACTGAAAAAGAAAATTTTCATTAACGAAATTTCACCGACATCTACTCCATTCTCCGTATTTCAGTTTGAACGTTTTTTTTGCGCTTATTTAAAAAAAAGAGTTCTAATAGCTTAGTGGAACTGTGGAAGAGCGTAAGTCTTGAAAACTGAAGGTCCGTATATTTCCTTATAAGACAATTATACGAGTAAACTTTAGGGAAGGAAAAATCATTTCATTAGCTAAAGTTAGATTTTTACCAGAAGCATTAGTAATTAGAGATGTTTATATTAATTATATATCATTGTTCTTTAACAAAATCCTCAAAGATGCTTTGTAGACCCTTTTAAATAGTCTATTTTCCCAAAAACTTTATTTGATTGTCACTTTTTTTTTACCCCCACTGAACAAACCCTACACTAATACTTTTATTTATAAATGCGTATAATCTCCTCCTCAACTTAACAACATGGTCTTAAAAGTGTTATTTTTTTTTTGTTGTTGCAATTTTTCTCTGTTTTTTAAAATTCACTACATACATAAAGTCAAATTTGATCTTACCCTCGTCACCCCTACCTTCTTGTTCCTAGACTTCCTACTCCCCCTTCCCTCTAACTCTTGTTTTATTGGTAGAACAATTCAACGTATAAGATATTTCTTAGCACGCAAACTTATGTTTTTTGTTAACTTTGTGTCAATTTTGACCAAAAATTAAACTCTTAACAGCCAATATGATTCCCAAAATCTTTACCGGAAAAATTATTCGACATGTAATCACAATGTTTTTTGAACATGTAAACCGAGAGATAATTAATAACCGAGGGATACATACAAACAGATTACTCAACAATAAGGAGAACAAAATACCGAGTGATTCACAAAGTTGTGTTCAAAATGATTTTCGAAAATTTAAACCGAGAGATAGTTAATCTAATAATTAAACAGAGTACTCAATTAGTTACTCTCGAAAGATCACCATACTTCATACTAATAAACTAAAGCCCGATACCAAAAAAGAAAAAAAAAAACACAAAAGATAAAGTGGAGAGCTTTGAATATCAGAGAATCACCTGGGAATTTCCCAACAACAAAATTGAGTACAATTATTGTTATGTTAAACAAATACATAACAGTGATAACATAGCCTATAAACTATTTGATCATATGATTGAACCGAACCCATTCCAAAACAATAGAGTAAATATAGCATTTATCCCACATATCAAAATTATCAATTTGCTTGTGAGCAAAACAGAATGAGGTGTAACCTATCAAAAACAACATAATTTATCCCAAAACTGAACACTTTTCTTGAAGCTTTGATCAAGTATAGGAAGCCACCTTGTAGCTTTGGTCCAGCATAGGAAGTCAATCTTCCTTATTTGATATATAAAGAAGTCGCAAGACAAGCTCAGACATTACGAGCTCCTTCCCATGCTGCCAAAAAGTCTAAAAGGTTGGGTATAATTTGTTAATTTAATTTACAACCCAAATTAAACAAAATCAAAAAGAAAATTGAAATGCTTTGAATTAGATCCAATAGAAAAGCAATTAAATATTTTAAAAAAACTTAAATCTTCATATACAATCCTCATAACATAGAGAAAAAAATCAACAAACACATATGTGCACGCATATAAGTTGAATGAAATCATACACAAAAGTAAGATACAAAATCATCCATGAAATGATGGTTGTCATAATATGCAACCAAGGTCTGCTGCCCCAACCCCACCTAATCCAGTCAAAGTGTGATGTGTGCCAAAATCATAGACCAGTGATGCTCAATTGTAGGCCCATTTAACCTGGTGATGCATGCATTAACTCAACCAAGATTAGGTTTCATAAGACTCTCAACGCCATGAACACATTCTACCGGACATGAGTCAGGACACCTTCCAAAGCAATCTCCACACCAGCCTGAATTCAACTATACACGTTCCTCTTTTCATATATGGATGCTATGAATATGTAATTCTGGTTCACTAAATAAATCAAAGAATACTTTCCTACCTTGTATTTGAACATGACAACATGACATAATTTGATCAAACTGTGAGGTCAATTTGATTTTAGATTAAATTCTAATGTGCAAGCACAATGTAAATGCTAAAAGACACCTAGTGTGATTTCAAAACTTGGCTAATTAGAGTTAAGCACAAGATATTGCTTCCTTAATCTAGTGTGATAAGGTGCTGAAGGCAAAATAGAAATTAGGTGCTAAACATCAACAATTCCCTCTAACCATAAAAAATAAAACAGTAATTACTTTTCTTCTACACTCACCAAAAAAAAATAAAACAGTAGCATAAACCATAAACACTCTAAGTGTACATTTAGGATTATCGTAATAAAGTTATCTAGCATCTCACGGGAAAAACGCAAGCCTAAGTAAAATAAAGCTTATTAGGACAAAATCATGGATTATAAATTAGAAATGACTTCATTATATCGAAAACATCAACAATGATAGCACTGGTAAAATCTAAAAAGAATCCTACTTTTCATAGTTATAAATGCAGATATTAAGAATGAGGTAACATTTAAGCCAGAAGAGAGTCAAGTAGCGGACAATATCTCAGTTCATTAGGTTGAATTTGACAAAGTACTGCTTGAGTTCAGGTAGGCCAAGCAAACCCAATGCTCTATGGATTGATTGCATTTCGTTCAGTGAACGATCAACAAAGATTCACCTTGGATTATACCTATTATATAGCAGAAATCCTCAAAATGTGCAATCCATGACATAGTAAACTTACTAAAACACTCTTGACATGGAACTACATTAAGTATATTGTATACTAAGTAAATCAATAGTTCTTTTTTCTTGTAAGTAAATACAGTACTTTTGAGTTGGAAAACCCATTCTGTCATCACAACTACCACCCATGTAACAGCTGCAATTTCCATCCTACACCTGAGTGTAATTTTACACTTTTGCACGCTTTCAAATTCCCCTCCCCATTTACTCATGAGCTGACCACATTAGGAGGCAAATGTGAGAGTGTAAAATTACACCCGTTCTAGGATAGACACCCTATGTAACAACAAATAACACACTATAAGCATATTATGGCGAAATTTCGATGCAATTTAGACCCTCAAACTCAACAAGAACACACCATAATTCGATGAAACTGCACTATGTGACTACACAACACAAGGCGCTTTCCTCGTACTACACATCAGTACTATAATTTCCCGGAAGGGAGACAAATTCATTCATCAAAATCTTACACAAACAACACAATTTTCAAAAAACGGGTATCAAATTCAACCACAACCCCTAAAATCTAAATTAATTATTTTTTCACTAAATTATAGGAATGATCACAAAAGTAACAAAAAAAAAATATCAATATATATAATGATAAAATTAAATAAGAGCAAATATATCTGAAACCGCTCTGGTATATAAAGAAACGCATACAAATTTGTAAATGACGAAGGTCAAGGAATTCTGCAAAACAAGAGATAAAACAAAACATGATTGGGATTTTTGGCCCAGCAAAATGAAACCTTTTTACTCAAAAAAATCGTTTATTTCGTTAATTTGCTCAATACAGTACAGTATAAAAGAGATGAAGAATATAGATCAAATATAGTATTTTTTAATTTTACCTAAAGAAGAAAGCCCTGGCACTGGAAACTACCATTTAATGATTCTCTTTCTTCTTGTTTTCGAATGAAGCTAACTCAAATTCCTCCTGCAAATCTACATAAATACATACAATGTTAAGGAAAAACCATACATAGTTTAGAAATATTTCATATGCACGGGATATACAGATTTAGGAAAACACACACAAAACTCAGAAAAATTCAATTACAAACCTCAATTTTTTCAAATACCCACAAAATTAATTAAGAAGATTAACCAAAAACACATAGCATAAAAAAGAAAAACTGGATTTGTATGAAAATTAAAGCTATACATACCCTAGATTGTGAAATTGATGTTAGATGATTATAAAAAGGATATACATCTTACCTGAAGAAGCTGCTTTAATGGAGGAGATTAAGCTCAGAGCACGCAGCAAGCCTTCAATGGAAAGCGAGGAAAAAGAAAGGACGAAAAGGAGCACCAGCAGACATTTTATAGCAAATAAAACCCCCGAAAATGAGGAAGAGCAGAGGAGAGAGACTGAGAATTGTGGTGTTGAGAAAAACCAGGAATATAGTAGTCAAACAACAAGAGAAGCCTGGACAGATTTTCACATGCAAAGGGTATATATGGCAAACCATAAAATTAGGGGCAGCAAAGTAATAGCGCCACATTTTACTATTCATAAGGAAATTAAAGGTTTCAGACATGAAAAATATACTAGTACATAAGATTGATAAGAATGTAAGATGTTTTATGGGTTACCTTATGTCCCTAATGTATAATTTATAGCTCATTATGTTAAGTTTTCAATAACCAAATTGTGATTTGACAAGCGTGTTCAGTTAAAGTAATGCAAATATATTGGAACAGGTGTTGTATCGAAAGTTACGAAAAAATGTTAAAATAAAAATTTATTACCTTTATCCTTTTAGAATAGGCGGCAAAACTGAGAGCAATTGCTAAGATACCATAAATAAAGGCTTTTAAAGGCACCCAATAACTAAATTGACCAACCATTTTAATCTCTTTTAGTTTAAGACTCTCTTTCTCTTTCTCCGTCTAGAATCATCTAAAAATGTAGTTGATTAGATGAGAGTAATTACACAAATTAGTTTGGGTTAATTGCTATTTATAGAACTTCGGTGGCGGGTAAAGTAAATTATAATATCATGCTTGTTTCGGATGAAAATAATAGGACCTTCAGGGTAGGCCCTTTTCAAGGGAGAAGACTGGTCTCGGTCTAAGCGATGACTGGGCCGAGGATTTCCTGCACAGCAAGTACACGTAAACTAGCCTCGGGGGTGGTTGCCGAGGAAGGCCCCTCCGATGCTAAAGTCAGTTTAGTGTATTGAGAGTAAATGATATGCAAGAGGATTAATTGCTTGAGGTTAATTGTGAATGAATGTAAGGTGATACAATTGATGGCTTTTATTCCTTTGCTCAATGAGGAGGACTGGGCCCTTGAAGTCAGATGGGCTTGCCATGCTGACTAGGCTTGATTGACTTAGCATGCTTTTAGAGAGTTGAACCTTGCATTGGACTTTTGTAATTAAATCATTTGGGTCAGCCCAGTTAGGTTAACTGAATTGGACCCAAACAACTTGCCCCCCAAACCCGATTCGGAAGGATGACGGGTCGGGTTTTGACTTGCAAAATGGAGGGAAACAAATGATTGTAATTTGAAAAGGGAATTTGGACAGTTAATGACGTTATAACTGTCATTAAGGAGAATAATTAGGGAAGGTAGAAAGTTTAGTGGGTAGTTAACTTAGGAATGTGTTTAACGGTTGTGTTTAAGTGGAATTTAGTGGGATTTTTGGCGGTTTTAAACTCTTGGAATTCTTGATTCCGGCAAACTTATATAAACCGCCCTCTCTACCTTCGCTAATCACTTTTCGCAAACACACTTCCTGAAATTCGCCCAAACCCTTGAGAACCTAATTTCAATTCTTCCTTATTCTCTACGATTCCGAGCTTTTATACTAAAATTTTTTGCTCCGCATCAATAGGTCAACAAATTCCGAGTCCAGTAGAGGTAATTTTTCCCTAAACTTGTTCGATTCTCTTATTTTCCAGAGCTCTCCCTTTCTTCTCAATTTTTTTGACTTTTTGCAAAAGTGGCCCGAGATTTAGGAAAGAGACCCATGAGGGCTGAGGAGGAGGGAGTTCCTCAGCTAGGTGCTAGGCGCAATGAACCATTAGGGCGAATGTTGCGCCTAAGCAACAATGTCTCTCTTCCGAGACGAGAAGATAAGGCTTCTTCTGAGGAGCCCCCCATTGTTGCGATACCAGTAACTTCGGTGTCGTACCGAGGTTGGGAGGAGGCAAGCACCTCCGCTAGTGGCTCAGCGCATGGGCCTCGGCGCCTACCTTAGGGAGCCGAGGAATGGCAAAATCCGCCCGAGAACCATGGGTTGATGAATGCGGTTCCCTATGATTGGTGGGTCAATGGGAATGCCCTCCATCATTTTGCCGAACAAATCGAAGTGTTCTACGGCATTATGGAGGAAGACGGGTATTGGTGTCAAATGCCCGTCGCCGAAGATAGGATTCATAGACCCCCACCTGGTTACATCGGCGTGTACACCAGGCAACTCCAATCTGGACTTAGATTTCCTTTGCACTCATTTGTTGTTCAAGTGCTAAATGGGTATAATATTTCCTTGTGTCAACTGACCCCGGTCAGTATCCGAAGAGTCATGACATTCTTGTGGGTCTGTCTCTTTTACGGATTTGAGCCGAGCTTAGGTGTGTTCCGAAAATTGCATAAGCTGATGCCGAATCAGCAATCTGATGAACACCATGGCCTTGGGTGGTGGAGAATTGAAACCCAAAGGGGGTTTTTAACCACTTGGCCGAATGACACCTCCGATAAGGACTGGAGGGGTCAATGGATCTAGTTCGAGCCCCAGCCGAAGAAGGGCACCCGAATTATTTTGGTGGGCCAAGGCACCTGAGAATGCCTGATCCGAAGATGAAAGTCCTCAGCCCTGACGATTTCATAGTCGAAGAGAAGGAGTTGTTGACTCTCTTCGGGAAGAAGAGGAACCCAGGGGGAACTGGCCGAATGACTTACGTGCCAGAGACTTGGCTTCCCTGCTATCACTATATCTTCAAGGAGAAGATATTAGCTGCTGTCGGCCTCAGCCGAAAATATCAATATGGTAAGAAGCTCAGCTTGGGCCAAGAGCCTTTACTTGTCTTTTTTATTTTTTCTTTTTGCTTGTTTCCCTTTTCATGCAGAATAACCTTTTTCTTTCGGTTCTTCAGTGCTGCACGAGGGGAATTGCGACTTGGAATATAATAGGCTTGGTATTAGCGCTGCTCGGCAAGTGACGAGGAACACCCCTACTATAATCGATCCTCCTGCTAGGGCCCCCGCACTGCGCACATCAACGCTTGAAATAGTCAAGCCAGCTGAGCACTCCAGGCAAAAACCCTGGTATTTGAAGAGGGACCCCTTTTTCCTTTTGGGCCCCGAGGAACTAGTTGTTGCCGCTGCTGCAAGCGTTCGGGCTGGAGTTTTTGCAAGGAATTCTGAGCAAAGTGCTGAGCCGAGAACTCCTGTAATTGAGCCCAACGTGCTCTACGCTGAAGACAAACTCTTGCTGAAGACTTCGGTGAGTCTTAATGCTCTTTCAGCTTTCATTTTCTCCTAGCTTTGTTCCTTTTACTTAGATTTTCATTTGAATTTTCCAACTTGTGAAATTTTTTCCAAATTTTTCGAAGTACTGAACTTCGGCTGCGTCGCTCCTTCTACCTAGACTTTTCAACTTGTGAAAATTGTCTAAGTATTAAGCTTTGGCTTGGATTTTTTATTTTTTTTATTTTTTTTTTTATTTTTTTATGATGATACTGATATCACCTTTTGCCCCCCTTGTCTCTTCTACTGCATTCTGACAAAGAAGAAGAAGACAAGAGGGAACCTGAAAAACACAACCATATTCTTCAGACGATTCTTCTGACGAAGACATGGCAGGCCAAAGGAGGAAAAGAAGAAGAGCTATTGTAAACCCAAAGTGACTATTGACTATGGGAGTAATCCCTCAGTCTTCTTGCAACTTATTATTGCGTGCTAGGAATTTTATTTTTTCCTAATATAACTTCAATAGGGTAAAAATTCTGAGTTAGTTGATGTTCTATGTAGCTTATTGATAATTCTAAAAAATTCCTGAACATTATAAATACCCAACTTCTGTGGTTCTGTCATGCACATGTATGGAAAATTAACCATCAAGATGCAAGCATCTTACTGCATGTTATTATGAAGTATCACTGACGATGCTACTCGCGTCTTAGAGACCGTGAAAAGTTAAATGGGGCAAAAAATAAGGGACACGGGGAATGAATCATTACAAATTTACAAGTCATTTTTTTTATAATTTAAAGTTAAGTTATACTCATATATATTACCTGCACGCATAAATTATTAAGTTAATATGGACAAACAAGAAGAAAAATGTGATCAATCAAATTTAGATGGCTAGTAAAGTTAAAGTTGGTCAAAAATGTAAAAAGATACTTCGTATATTTCAAACATGATTTAATAGATTATTCGAGATATGTTGGAAAAAACATGTTGTATGTCATTGATGAGTAAGACTGTAAGAGATTTGTTCAACATTCTATTTGATATAACATTTGCTAAACTAAATAACTTTCAGCTCAACTACAAACAGACTAAAAGATGAAAAAATCTTTACAGCTTACAACAATCTTACTACCCTTGGATTGTTCTTGAGCTATACAAGATACCGGCCACTCAACAAGCATCACGTTAGCTATCTAGATTATTCCTTCGGTTGCTGCGTCTGAGGTTCTCCCATAGCAACACCGTGCTCATGATCAACAGCGGCCTTGGTTATTACTGTTTGTTTTAGCAGCACCACACGCCCAGAAAGCATATGATACCAGACCTACAACAGTGCTAATTATGCACCAATATGCAGCCCCAAGGAACAAATTCTCGTTGCCCACCTCGCAACTGTCAATGTTTTCTCTGGTATAGGCTTTTGCTAGGAAGTTGTTGTTGTTAAGGATTGCTGTATATATCAATCCAATGAACGTTATCAGAAAAGTGAACCTGCAATACATACCAAGATAAAAGAGTAAAATTCTTGTGCACAACGGACCAATATAAAGTTAAGCTTACACAGTTACACTCCCTTCATTCAGAATTAATTGCCACGACACTATGTATTAACAAATGAACCGGCCTTTATAGAACTTGTGCTATTTCTATCCCCTCCTCGTCATTTATAATTAAGGGAGACAAATGTAAGCGAATTGTAGAAATTAATAACATACCAGGAGCCGATGAAGAAGAGTAATGAGCTTATAACAGTGCAACGAGCAGAACAACGTAGTCCACAGCAGCAAAAGCAATAAGTAGCAGCACTAATAACAATTTGCTCGGCTAGTAGAAATAATGCAGCAACTATGCCAAGAGCAGATGATGGACTGCTTGGGTATACACATAACCTATCTTTTTTGGTAACATCTTTAGCCTGCGCAATGCAACTATACACGTAAATTGAACGACTTAATCATGACTCGACATCAAGTTTTAAGGTTGTAGTGTAGTACATTGTTGATCATCTAAAGTCTAAACAGAGACATTAATCAACTAGATTATTTTTAATTAGCTACGTTCTTTGCGATTGAGAATTGCATTACCGTAGGGTCTGAGATTTGTCAATAGCAAACTAACAATATAATAGACCAGTACTGATTGATCAAAACCGAGTAGTCATATCTTGTTAAATTTGTTACAATAGATATTTTAAGATTATCATATTTTTACATTTTTTGCATGTATAAAATTGGAGATATTCATATTTTAAAAGATATCTTGAACACTATAAGAAGTCAAACGGGGTAAATAAACGGGGACAAAAGGGAATATATATCAATTATGGAATTTATTTTGAGTTTCTATTTAAGCAAGTAATTAAGGTGGAAATGTGGATGTTCCTTTGAGGGATGAGAGTTATAACTTGGAACTTAGAAGTATTAGGCATTTAGGCACTTAGACAAGGGCCCCACTATATCATCTACTTCTTAGTAATTTCTTCTTTGATTATGATGAAATCAGCCTACAAAGGAAATCAACTAAACGACATCGTTTCGACGGCATTGACAAAGATGTCTTCCCCTTAATCAAGGAAAGCTCACATTCATAGTATTTTAGTCCATACAATTTTTCTAAATATCTTTTCCTTGTCAAATCAATTATTTACAAAAATTACAAGCACATAAATCTTGTTTAAATATAATTATGTATACTCCCTCCGTCTCAATATATCGGATTAACAATTTTTATAGACTACCTTTAAAAATAAACATAATAGTAATCATTAATCAACAAAGTTAGAAAATAAATTGAATAACATGACCAAATCATACTAGTACTAATTAAAAAATATTACTTTAGGGCTTGTTTGACATTGTTTTTTATTTTCTGTTTTCTGTTTTTTAAAACAAAAGACCAAAAACAGGAAACAAGAAAAACGTGTTTTCACTTTTTTATTATCAGTCTTCTAAATTATCAGGATTTTAATAAGTTTGACTATTTTTTTATTCATTATATAACATATATCATGTGGTGAAGCCATGTCGGAGAGGCCCATAAATCTCTCACCTCCTTTTTGCAGATGACAGTCTCCTCTTTACTAGGGCTAACCGTCAGGAATGCTCAAACATCGTTGATATTCTCAACCAGTACGAAGCAGCATCGGGACAAAAAATCAATTATGAAAAATCGGAAGTGTCTTTTAGTAAGGGGGTGGGGACTGAGCAAAAAGAAGATATGATGGGAATTTTGAGGATGAAGCAAGTTGAGAGGCATGGACAATACCTTGGCATCCCAAATATAATTGGGAGATCAAAAAAAGAAGTCTTTGAAGCTTTATTGGATAGGGTGTGGAAAAAATTGCAGGGGTGGAAGGAGAAGTTACTGTCCCAAGCCGGAAAAGAGATTCTTTTAAAGTCAGTGATCCAGGCAATCCCAACTTATCTCATGGGAGTGTATAAATTCCCGTCAGAGGTAATTAGAAAAATTCATGTGACAATGGCAAATTTCTGGTGGGGTCAGAATGTGGATAAGAAACGTATTCACTGGAAGAGCTGGGATTCTATGTGTACTCTTAAATGCCTCGGAGGGATGGGGTTTCGGGACTTGGCAATATTCAATGAAGCTCTCCTAGGGCGACAAGCTTGGCGTATAATTTCTCACAACAACTCTTTACTGTGTAAAGTGATGAGAGCAAGATACTTCAAGCACTCAGATTTCCTTGGCTCGTCTCTTGGATATGGTGGCAGCTACTCATGGCGGAGTATATGGGGTTCAAAATCCCTAATAAAAGAAGGAACCCTCTGGCGAGTGGGTAATGGAGAGTGCATACGGATTTGGGAGGACCCGTGGATTTGTGATGAGACAGGCCGCTTTGCAACAAGTACTCCATCAGAAGAGTTTTCGAAAGTGAGTGAACTGATTAATAGGGAAGCCATGACCTGGGACTATGACAAAATTCAGGCGCTTTTCAATGATCGAGACAAGAAGAGCATACTCTCAATCCCCCTGAGTTTGAGGTGCCCTCCTGATAAAGTGATCTGGGCTTTCTCTAAGGACGGTGAGTATACTGTCAAAACGTCATACATGCTGGGGAAGGGATGCAACCTAGATGACTTCCATCAAGCATGAGTTGACATTTGGAAGATGCAAATTATCCCGAAAGCCAGAAATTTTTTGTGGCGATTTTGCACAGGAACTATCCCTGTTCGTAGGCTTCTAAAACACAGGCACCTTGCGGAGAATGACTGGTGTCCTTGGTGCGAAAACGAGTCTGAAACGTGGCAGCACGCTTTCTTTGAATGCGAGCGAATCCAGAACTTGTGGCTCAGACTTGATTGTGAAGATATGAGGAGGGAAGCCCTTTCCCTCAATCCCTGTGATCTTATTGAAAGCTGGGGAAACTTGCCAAAAGATGTGAAGGCTCGTGGTATTTACCTTATGTGGGGTATTTGGCAGGAGAGAAACTTGAAAATTTTCCAAGGGAAGGACGGATCTTCTGACTTGCTTGTGGCTCGTGTGCAGAGGTGGGCTGAGGAAAGTAAGTTACTGGAAGAAAGACTGAACAAAGTGGGGGAGTCAATCCCTTGTTCAAGCTCTCGAAGATGGCTCCCTCCGCCCCAAGGTTTTGTGAAGGTCAATACAGATGCCTCGATTACAAATGAGGGGTGGGTTGGCCTTGGTGTAGTAGCTAGGAATGATGAAGGGGCAGTCTTATTTGCGGCTTCTCGAAGAGTCAGAGCGTGGTGGTCGATTGAAGTTGCGGAAGCAAAAGCCATAGTCTGGGCACTTAGTCTGGGAACGAGATTCGGGCTTGCTAATATCATTATAGAATCTGATTGCCAAGTTATTGTATCGAGACTCGCAAAGGATATGATGCTCAACTCTGATCTGGATATGATTCTAGGTGATGCGATGATGCAGGGCTCTCGTTATAGTAGTATTCAATGGCGCCATGTCAAGAGGAGAGGAAATTCCGTCGCCCATAATCTAGCAAATTTCATTCCTTTTAATCTTGAGCAAGTTTGGGTTAACTGTGTCCCCCCTCTTGTCTCCCCCTATGTAACTATGGATACTCTTGCCATTGAATAAATTTTTGGTCTTCTGCCTCTAAAAAAAAAAAAAAAATATAACATATATCATGTTATTTTGAAAATAAAAAAACCAAAATATAGAAAACTACAACAATATCAAACGAACCCTTAAATATTTGATTTTTTTCGGTAAAATACAACATGAAAAACCAAAATATATTACAAGTATAGAAATTTACTGTAAATAAAAGTAAAATGAAATGTAAAAAGTACCTTAACCCTTTTGGTAAAAGCAATGAGACTGAAAGTCATAGCAAGAGCACCAAGAAGAAGGGCAATAAAAGGCACCAAAAAATTATGTCTTCGCATCATTTTTTATCTTCAAATTTCAATCAATGGAATTTTGTCCTGTTTTTCAAACCAATTTTTCTGGGTTTCGAAGAATAAGATTGAAGTGAGTAAGAAAAATAAGAGTGTAAGTTGTAATAATTGGCGATTTGTAATATGATTGGGTGGTTGAGGAGAGAGAAAAAGAAGAAGCAACTTCAAAGTAGGAGTGAATAAGAGAGGGAGAGAGAAGTGAGGAAGCAAAACTGGCTTTGGAGAATTTTTGGAAGATGCGTGGAAATGAGATAAAAGGGGAGAAGGTAGTTTTTTTTTCAGGGGCAAAGTCAACGTGGGAATAGAGATTTTGAAAGTGTTTTTTTTTTTTCAAAGCCGAATGATTTCAGTTTTCAAGATCTGAGATTGAATGTCGTCTATGACTCTATGTTACTTGTTAATTTGTTACTTATGACTCTATATCACCTGACAATCTATTAATTTGTTATAGTAGTTCTCTCAACGAAAATTAAACGGTTTTTTTACCATATGCCCATGAATTTTTTTTTGTTTATTCACCATATATCCCTGAACTTTTTAAATTCATCATATACCCCCGAGTTTTTACAAAAATACACCATATACTCTTGATGACTAATGATTGTTAACTTCGTTAGTCAATAAAGTTAATTATGACCCGAAAGTATCCTAAATACATTCCCCTACCCCGAAACCACCCACATTTCTTTTTCACACCCTCAAAACCACCCAAAATTTCCTTTTCTTATCCTCAAAATCAATCATACGGATAAGCTTATGGAGATTTGGAGTGGTTTCGGGGGTTGGAGAAAGAAGAGGAGTGGTTTCAGGGATGGAGGGGGAGAGCTTTAAGGTGGTTTTGATGCATAATTAACCCCCACTCATCTTGTTGTTATTAAGGGTATATGGTGAATTTTTGTAATAACTCACGGGTATATAGCGAATTTAAAAAATTATAGGGACATATGGTGAATAAACAAAAACTCAGGAGTATATGATGAAAAAATCGAAAAACAAAAAACAAAAAGTATGAATAATAATGTAATGAATGTAATTCCTAAAAACAAAAAAGAAAAAGAAAACAAAAGGTAATGAGTGTAATGTGTGTCAAAAATGTAACGAGTGTAATGACTTGATTTAGATTAATAGACCGCACTAAATTTCTCAAATTGTCATATACTCTTGTAAATTTTTAAGAATTTTTAATTACTCCCTCTATCCCATAATACTTAACACAATTTTCATTTTCATCCGTCCCATAATATTTGATACATTACTAAAGACTACTAATAAAAAAAATATTTTCCCACATTTTCTCTCTCCTCACTTACCCTACTCCCACCCCAATTGTTATTTTCTTATAATAAAAGAGAATCTTTTATACAATAAACAAATGTTTTAAATAAACCTGCTTGTAATTTTCTTAAATTACGTGTCTACCCTAATCTCCCAAGTATTATGAGACGGAGGAAGTATTTATCAGTTGCTAGTTTTTTTATAAGGTAGTAAGAAAAATAATTATTAGGATGCCTTCTGCATGAGGAGAATTTTTTATGTATCAAAATATAGAATAATAGTAACAAACTAGAGTTATTAAAAACATCAATATCCATACTATAAAAAACTAAATGACCTACATTAGCGATCCAATCTACCGTACAAGTTACTTCACGGTAGATATGATAAATACTCATTTATGAAGCTGAATAATGAGAGAACAAGTGCTTTGAGTTTCAAGCTCGATTTTGCCAAGGGATTGTCCAAGTACTTTCTATTGAGTTGATGACAAATAGATTACCACTTTTAATTTGAATGTTCTGAATGCTGCATTATTGGAGAGTTAGTTGAACTCTTTTAAGAAGATTTATAGCTTATTATGAATGCTTTTGTGTTGCTGAGGTTGAACATATATAGATGCGTTTATGAGGGCTCTGCTAGTTTGCTATGAGAATAACAACATATAAATTATACAAACTACGTTGTGTTATACAATGACTAAATGCTTTCTCGATCTATCTCCAATTATTTGATTCATAGCCATGTTATACTTTAGTCCTTTAATTTTAAAGTTATGGTCCATCAAAACTTATAAATATGAGGCAATCTTTTAAGGTCCAATTTAAAGAACGGGAAAAAATAATAATTTATTGACAATATGAAAATGTTCAAATGTACATGAGTAATGATAGCAATGAATCAGTCAAGGCATTCATCAACTTGGCTTTAAAATGGCCAATTTACAAAATGTAATATTAGGTTGGAAAGCAATTAGTGTATATATTGGACAATTGGCTAGAATTAGCATTATATACATGGAGGGCACCATTGTCAATCCAATCAATTCCTCTCTAATAAAAAGCCATCAATAGTTGCACAATTTGAACTCTCATGCAGCTTGCTATGAAAAATTGTAGCTTGGCAAGCTGATCTTACCGCAAGACGTGCTTACTATACATCGTATAAAGTACTCATACTTTCTCCGTTCTCTTTTAAGTGTAATATTAGAAAATGTATTGTCCTAATCACTACTTTGGATGATTGTAAGATTGGAAACTTAAACCTAATATTATATTGTACAGTTACATTTGGTGCACTTACTATATTTCATGTACAGTGTGAAAGTGCTTCTTTTTGAAAAGATTATCAGGGATTATTAATGTTATTAATGAACCAGTCATATCAAAGATAGGAAATTATTTCAATTGATCAACTACATGATACAAGTACAAAAAATGAAGCAATCTTTAAGCTCGTTACAAGACAGTGCAAAGTACTAGTTAACCAAATGAAGATTACCATGAACACAAACGCACATCTAATTGCACCTTTTGACATCGGGTTGATTTTGGTATATACTACATCAAATCCAGCTTCACATCATTACCTTTTGTTCTTTTGTTTGCTGCATTCAAGGATCTCCCATTGCAGTACCTTGCTCGATCATGATTATTAGCAGTTTCTTGTGAATTATGTATCGTCGAATGATTATTAAGAACTTCCTTGGGAATTATCGCTTGTTTTTGCAGTACCTTTCACCCAGAAAGCATAAGAGGTTAGACCTAAAACAGTGCTAATTATGCACCAAAGTGCATCACCAATGTAATATTTCTCATTGCCCACGTTACAGTCGTCGCCATTTATTCCAGGATAGGTCTTTGCCAAATAATGGCTGTTGTTGAGCATTGCTGTGTATATTAATCCAACGAACGCAATCACAAAGGTTAACCTACATTCACAAAGTAGAAAGTTTCAGTAAGTTAGTCATGTAATAGATTACAAGCAAGCTAGAAACCGAATGATTGATAGTTAAGATTGTTTAGGGTTAACTTGTGGCCGTATTTACATGGTCACATTGAGTCACACATGACCAAAAACGAAAAGGAGAAAAGGGGACAAATTTAGAGAAAAATGACATACCAAGAACAAATATAGAAGAACAGTGAGGTTATATAAGAGCAACGTTTAGAAAAGCGTTGTCCACAGCAGCAGAAGCATTTAATTGCAAGACGTAATACAATTTGCTGAGCTAGTATAAATAGTGCTGCTATTATACCAAGAGCATCTGCTGGACTACTTGGATATCTACATACCCCTTTTGATTTGGTAACATCTTTATCCTGCGTAAATTGACCGAATTAAGTCTTTTTGCCAAAAAAAACAGAAAAAAAAGGTTGGGGGTAACATTTTTACCTTAATCCTCGTGGCATAAGCAATAAAACTGAAAGTTACAGCAAAAACTCCCAGGAGGAGGACAGCCATAGGCAGCAAAACAACATTTCTCCGAATCATATTGATCGATGTATGTTCTTCGTTCTGCACCTTTTAATACGTGATTGTAGTATCGAATCGATTAAGAATTGAGTATGAGTTTGATGCATACATATACTGGTACTAGTTAGGAGGACTGGTAATGACAATATGGAAAGGTATAAAAATAATAATGTTCATCTTACCTTGAAAAACAATTCAAGCATCTTGGACAACTAGGCTAGATATTTTTTTTTTTCTTTATTTTTTTTATTGGGAGGAGGGGAAAGTTGGTTGATAAAGCCATTATATTCCTTGATAAAAATGTATGGTGGGCATCAATATTACTTTGAGAAAAATTAGTGTAACTTACAGGAAGCTCTATGCAGATTCCTTGTTCAAAGAAAGTTCTAACAACTGACTCGAGACGATCCTGCTTTCTCTGCCCTGGCTCCAGTTCATGGAATATGATCGATTAACTATCGGGAACATTCTTTCCCATAATCTAAACAGATGATCTACTCTTCACTCTCCTATAAACATGATCTACACATGATACAATTGCACAAATATATTTCACAGAGAAAAGTACTGCTAATATTGAACTCTATGCTTGTACTTGTCTCTTAAAACAGATAATCTTCTCTGGACAGGGAACTTCTCTTGCTTTTTCCCTAATTTATCCAGGTAGAATAAAACTTTCTTCAAGGTTATCATTACTTCTTCACTCTCATAACCAAACTCTTTCTCTTGAATTCTGAGCACCCTCTTCAGCAGCTCCAGTAGCTCATCGTCACCCTCTCCTAATCTGGTCTGTATTGACACTAGACAGTCAAGAGCTTCCCCTACAGTACCAGAAATTCAAAGAGATTATTATTAATCGGCCAATGGACAGAAAAACAAACTAATTATAAATTGACATGTTGGAGATTTTGTGAGCAGAAAATAAAGACAATTCAAGTATCAGCTCTATATGGCAAACAATGTTGTCAATTGCAGGAAGTGTTACAGATAAATGGTTTCTCAGATCTACAACTTCAGAAGTGAATCACTTTTCAAGTAAAAAGCCAAAATTGTACTATAGCTACAAATAGACAAATCAATTACAGCCTACGTGTGAATCAGTAGGATAATATATTTGCTTCTGTGATCTAAGTTGAATAAAAAACTTACCAACTGGAAGGGATTCTTTTCCAAAAGCTGTCTCACGAATGCGCAAAACTTCAATGGCAAGCTTTTCAGCTTCTTTATCACGTCTTAAGTTGAAGAGGGTAACCGCAAGATGTAGCATGGGAAAGGTGATGGACGGATCATCAGGGCCAACAGACTTCATCATGACCCGCAAAGACATCCTGAGCAAGCGCTCTGCTTCGACATAGTTCTTTGAGAAAGAATAGGAGGTTGCAAGGTTTATGAAGTGGGTGGCCAAGCTAGGATGATCTTTTCCTTTAAACTTCTCAGTAATCACCAAGCACTCTTCCAACAGTTCTCGGCCTTCGTTACCTCTGAAAAACGCACAAAAATAATTCAACACATGCGGCTTTTAGTCAAAGCCTCATTGGTGATAAGGATATTAGGAAAGAGTCTTCCTATTTAAATGCGAATATAACATACGGAGTATTAATTTTTACTAGTGCGGAGTATCATTTTGAATGAATAAGTAGTCGTTGCAAGTTTGTAACTTTCAAAAATGCAAAAAGAAAGCTAAAAATAGTTTGATTTTATGTAGCACAGGATCGAAGTTCTAAGACATTTACACAATTATACTATATATACTAAGTTAAAATTTCCGTTTCATCGAACAGAACAGGGAAGCTAATTTATACTTCATCGTAGCAACTATGCTAGATAGCTTCTTGATTTGTAAATCCAACTATACCTTCCGACTATATGAAGTAATTCAGCTAAATCTAATCTCATCTTCTCCATAATGTTGTCATCTAATGCTACATATCTTGAATCCCGAATGACCTGAAGAGCTTTTCTGTATAGGTGAATGGCTTCCTCAGCATTCCCTGTCAGACACAACACATTACATTCAGCAAATTTTCCATCATACAGCAGATTTTATGTAGCACCAGGAGGAGCAGTGACATGCAGGGTCACATGGTAATATGATACATATTTGAAAGTTGGAACAGTCTCTGCATTAACTTTCATTACAAATTACTACAATATTGTCAATGATAGTTTGTTTTTAATACATTTTCTAGTACATGATAAATAATAAGCCATAAAACAATCCAGTGTACTAACCCTGAGCACATTTTACATGGGCAAGGGAGCAAAGAGCCATGCCAGTCCTTCCATCAGTTTCTCCATGTAACCTTGAATACAGATTCAAAATCCTGCAAATTTTTTATAATATTGAAGCCAAATATAAGTGTGTTAATTATCTGAAACAAAACCTTCAAACATCTCTACAAACACAATGCAAGATATAATGGAATCTGGTAAACGGAATCTCTGCATCATTAGGCTTCCCTTGACTGAGTAGGAGATTGCCAAAGCCAGATAAAGGTAACACAAGGTCAAGGCTATCAGCACCATGACTTGACTCCACAATGGTAATTACACGTTGGTAGATTTCTACAGCTTCTGCAGCTCTTCCAACTGAACCAAGATGTTTAGCCAATCCCAACAGTGGTGTGACAAGAAATATACTGTGCCTGCCTATTAAAGACATTCAAACATAACATTAGCTGTTTCTTTATGTCAGCAAATCAGGTTGGTCTTACTTTTTATTAAATGAAAGGTTATTTTCATTATCCCACATCAGCATGGAAGTCATCGAAGTTAATATAATAAATGATATGCAGAGTACTTTACTTCTGTTGTATCTCTACATTTTAGAAGTCTCACGACTATTGCAATACACAGGATGGTTATAAATTGAAAAATATAATAAAAAAGCTGCTTTATATAATTTATAGATAAACCTGTTTGTCTAGGACCACATAAAGAGAACAAATAGATACAAAACTTGCGAATTCATGGCATTTTGGGCTTTTCGTGACTAAGCAAAGAGCATGAGAGGTAGGGCATAGCAGAACAATATCTAAAACATAATGTTTTTCATTCATTTGTTATTCTATAATATCATGAGGACGGAAAATGAGGCCAAGAAATGCTTTAGAAACCAAAGCAGCTCAATCTACAAAGTTACATAATTTGTTGATGAAGTCAGTTTAATGCTTTAAGCTAAATTATCGCTAACATGGTCACTTCTAATGATCACTTAAAAACTCTTAACTGTTATTATGCACCTGATGCACACAAGATGAGCTGGTTATAATATGACTTCAAAAAAGCTAACTAGATTACTAGAATCAATGACTGGCCTTAAGCATCATCAAGTAGAAGATGTTAAGTATTAGACCCACCATGTAAGTCTTCCAATATTTTTAGAGCCCTTTGATACATAAGCATTGATTTCTCTGATTTCTCCAATGATGAATACATGCTTCCCATGTGTATAAGTACTGAATCCAATAACATTTCATCATCTTTCAAACAATCAACGATCTTGCTCATCTGACCAATCAAGTAATTAAAAGTATTAGAAACACGATATCAAAACATATTTCTTTATCACATAATACACCTAAAGACATAAAGAACTTCATGGACTAGTGTAACATAAGAGCACTTATAAGCTCTATTAGTAAGTTGTTGCTAGGAAGGTGAAATACTGATAGGAAGGTGAAATACTGAAGCTCTATGGGTAAAATTAAAGCATAGCTGAATGGCCTGAATCTGTCCTATAACTCCTATTGTTATACATGAAATGTACTTAGTAAAAGATTAGTGGTGACTTTTCAGAAGAGGTTAAAAGATTGGATATGAAGGACAGAGTCTTAAATGTTGCTAGAGCTAGACAGCATGGTTAACACAAAATCGACTCTAGCCCCCACAAGGTATAGTCCATGCATATGTATAAGTGAAGATTTCTTGATAATGGATACACAAAAAGTAGTAGAGCAAACAAAAAAACAACTATTCAAGTACGAAGAATTGTTGACCTTACAATTTTCTGCAAACATCATTGTTTTCAAACATGAAATCTCTTAACCAAGCAAAAGATTGTTATCAAAATATCCTATTCAAAAAAGAAAACTAAAAGCTTCATCTCAAACATTACAAAAGAGGGAGAACCAAGAGATTACCGTGTCTAATAGCGATTCAACCATCTTTGAGTTGCCAAGAGCTATATATCCCAAAGCAATAATATCAAGAATAGCAACTTCTTCAATCCCTAAAAATCCTGCATCCAACTGTTCTTCTACTGCTTGATAATTTGCTTGAAGTAAATCTATGGCATCACTTTTCTTCCCTGTTGAAATCAAAGTTTTGACTTCATCAAATAACCCTTGGAGATGCTTCTCAAAATCATTTGCAGTGTTCAAGGGGTGACTTGAGCTATCAAGCAAAGTGTCAGACCTGTCAAAAATACATATTTAAAAAGTGACTATGCCAACTGTAAATGCCATTCCTTCCTCTTCATGTTATGTGGCCTAGTGCCACTAAATGGCAAAGGCTTTTGCGACACTTCTTTGGAAATAACAAAGTTAGACTAACAGAAGACATCCAAAGAAGAGGCAGAGGGACCAAAGAGGGTGGATTCTGGCCGTTCTGTGCCCATTTATTAATGTCATCTCTCATGTGATGTGAAAGGTCAACCTATCAAAATGGGTAATGTTTAAACCATCTGCTCTCATCAACTGTCGTGTCTACTGTTTGATGGAAAATAGTAGGATTCTACCTTGGGTTGCAACTAACAAACCAACAAATTGGAGTTGATGGGGCATTGAAAGGCTGAGGCTTCTCTCAACAGAAGCAATCAGTCACTTGAGGTTAATATATGTTATTCTGTATCTTCCTGTCTTTGAGGATTCAGAAAGTGGTGTCAATGGGTTTACTACACATAAATCAGCAAAATGATTGACATAAAATGCTTAAGCCAAAGCAGCACTCTTTATGTAAACACTCGACTATGGAATCGTTGAGATTACAGCTAACACATCATATAGTCACAGCCATTGGAGTCCCATGAGCAACAAGTATGATATCAAAACATTAAATTCAGACTATTTAATATGGTATACCCCATAAAATACCACCATACACTTTCCTTTATTTGCAAACATGCTATACACAATCCATACCCATATTACACTTCATTTCACTCAAGGCAATGTGGGAAATTCAAACTTCCACAAGAAAGAAACTATCACAATTAACCAAGAACACTATATCAAGGCCCCTACCTTTGGAAATGTGGAACAATAGAACACGCCCGTTTTTCAATTCAGTTCCATTGTACATTATTGGTAATACAATCTTAGAACACACCCTCGAAGACTGTGGACGCGCAATGCTTAGACAAGGGACCACATGAAGCTTAACATCACATTTCGGATGCTCAAAATGGATAGGGAAGCATGCCATAGAGTTCAAATTCGGATGAAAGCAAGCATAATTCATCCTGCAAATATAACATAGCATTAATTTCAACAAATAGGACACCCAGCAAGTACTGATAAGCAAATTTTCAGTATGACCAGCAAGAGGAAATGAAAATACATAAAAATATATACAAATTAAATGTCATTCCTTAATCATCCTCTAATACTACTATTACTATACTATAACTAAATTTTTCTTTCTATATCCATCTAACTCATTTTTCTTAATAGGTTTCTATAAATTGAACATGGATTCATGAATTGATTAAAAAATAGAAATCATTCTGGAGAAGTTCAATTTTACTTCAAATTAATTAGATAATTTGTTCTTTGTATGTGAAGTTTTGGGAACAGGATAAGAGAAAACCCATTAAATTTAACAAATTTTAAACTTGACCCATTAACAAATGTTGGGTATGACCCAAATTTTATAAGCCCATTATATTGATGGAGTATAATCTAGAAGCTTCCTGAAAAATCAAGAGAAGATTACACTTGATTTTTTAGAGTTATCTACAACTTTAATATCTCTTAGAATATTCTAGAGAATATTAAAAGTAGAAGCCTCTAGATTAAGAGCCATAATTATGGAGAAATTCCCATAAAAATCTAGAAGCCTCCATCCTCACCTATAAATATGGGTCAAGGGCATAACAACAACAACACAACACAAAAACACAAGAAGCCATACCAAATACAAGCCTTTCTACAAAATATTCTCCCTCCTTGTAATATTCCACTACTATCATAATACTCCTTTATGAGTTTCTTATAGTGAGAGTTCTCTTGTAATAATCACCCTCTCAAGAGTTCTTGTACTCTCATACTTTCAAATAGTGGAATAAAAGTGCTCGTTGTTGTATAAAATCGTTTGTTTATTTATATTAATTATCTTGTCAATTATCAATTTAGTTTATATTTCTCAATCAAACACATCTTCGCTTCCGCTGTGCACTCACCAACCCTAACAAGTGGTATCAGAGCCAAAGGTTGATTAGAGTGTTTACACATTAAAGATGTCTTCGATCACGAAGTTCGAGATTGAGAAATTTGACGGCAAGATTAATTTCAGCATCTGGAAAGTCCAGATGAAAGTCGTTCTAGTACAGAGCGGATTAAAGAAGGCTTTGGATGGAAAAGCTAAAAAACCAGAGTCAATGACAGACGAGCAATGGCAAGAGTTGGACGAAAAAGCCCTCTCGACAATCCAACTATGTTTAACCAAGGAGGTACTGCGCGAGGTTGTCCATGAAGACACAGCAGCTGACCTATGGCTGAAGTTAGAGTCACTATATATGACTAAAAGCCTCGCTAACAAGCTTCGACTTAAAGAAAGGCTTTATACAATTCGAATGGCCGAAGGTACTTCTATTCAAACTCATCTCGATGAATTTAATTCAATTACAATTGATCTGGAAAATTTAGATGTTAAAATCGAAGATGAGGATAAGGTCGTGTTATTAATTGTCTCCCTACCACCTTCGTATAAACACTTCAAGGAAATTATGCTTTATAGCAATAGTGATACTCTTTCTTTTGAGGATGTTAAATCTCACTTACTCTCAAAAGAAAAGTTTGACCTTGAAGTTCATTCTAATGAAAATGCCGAAGGTTTAAGTATACAAGGGAGATCACACGGTAGTAAAAGTACCAATAAGAAGTCCAAATTTAATGGACACAAATCCGGAAAATCTTGCAAGTTTTGCAAGAAGCTTGGGCACACAGTTGAAGAATGCTGGTTTGCAAATAAAAAGCTCGAAAAGAAAGAGCAAGAGGAAAAGCCGAAAGAGACGGCAGAAGCCGGTTTTGGAGAAATAGAGTCCGATGATGAAGTTCTCTTAGCTACTTCACCAAGAAGAAATAAAAATTCTGATTGGGTACTTGATTCGGGTTCTGCCAACCATATTTGTTCTCAAAAGTCTCACTTTACCGACTATCAGCCGGTAAAGAATAAAACTGTTACAATGGGTAACGGTTATCATTGCAAAGTTCGTGGTGTTGGCTCCGTACGGATCAAGACGCAAGACGGTGTGATCAGGACTTTGTCTAATGTTCATCATGTTCCTGATCTGAAAAAGAATATCATTTCTGTTGGCATTCTGGACTCAAAAGGATATAAGATTTCGGCTCAAGGTGGAGCACTCAAAGTCTCCAAAGGTGCTCAAGAAATATTGAAGGCCATCAGACATAGAAATATCTATGTATTACAAGGATCTTCTATTATGGCTTCGTCATACTCAATCCGGACTCGGCAACAACGCTCACATAATACGGGTCCAAGTAACATACGACGAGCGCACAGATAAAATTTGGTCCAAGGTGGAGATTGTTGGGTATGACCCAAATTTTATAAGCCCATTATATTGATGGAGTATAATCTAGAAGCTTCCTGAAAAATCAAGAGAAGATTACACTTGATTTTTTTAGAGTTATCTACAACTTTAATATCTCCTAGAATATTCTAGAGAATATTAAAAGTAGAAGCCTCTAGATTAAGAGCCATAATTATGGAGAAATTCCCATAAAAATCTAGAAGCCTCCATCCTCACCTATAAATATGGGTCAAGGGCATAACAACAACAACACAACACAAAAACACAAGAAGCCATACCAAATACAAGCCTTTCTACAAAATATTCTCCCTCCTTGTAATATTCCACTACTATCATAATACTCCTTTATGAGTTTCTTATAGTGAGAGTTCTCTTGTAATAATCACCCTCTCAAGAGTTCTTGTACTCTCATACTTTCAAATAGTGGAATAAAAGTGCTCGTTGTTGTATAAAATCGTTTGTTTATTTATATTAATTATCTTGCCAATTATCAATTTAGTTTAAATTTCTCAATCAAACACATCTTCGCTTCCGCTGTGCACTCACCAACCCTAACAACAAATTGTCACTATAAAATACAATCAGAGCAATATTCAAACTTTCAACTCAAAAAACTCGAAAAAGCTTCTACCTTTGAAACTCGCAAATTGAAGAAGAAAAAACCCCAATAGAGAGAAAGAGAGATACCTGTCAGTAAAAGAGGGAGAGGGAAGAAGGGCTGTTGCCATTGGAGCAGTGAAGCACAGCAACTCAGGATGAGAGATAATAAAGAGAAAGAGCAATGGTTAAATGACTAGTGACATCAACACAATCTTCTTTCTGAGTATTTGCAAATGCTTCAAGAAATGAATTTGTTGGGCCCTAAATTTATCTACCATTTTTCGCACGCCAAACCCAAGTTTTGTTTCGACTTATTTTAGGTAGAACAATTCATGCTCCGAAATCGTAAGTATAATTTTGCGTCTTAGAAAATTCGGATTATTTCAGATAAAATAAGTTTAGATTTTTCAAGGTAAAGAATAAATTCATTTAGTTTTAATTCTAAATAAAATAGCAAAATAAGTCAAATTGGAATATACACACATTTGATTCATTTATAAAAGACTAGGTATGTTGATGAAACTCGCTGGCTCATGAACTATTGAGCTCGGTTCAAAAATTCTATGAGTTGAGCATCACTATGTGCTTGACTCGAGAAGTTTGTGAGCTATTCAAAATTACTTTTCTTTAACTATTCTATAAATATAACTTAGTTGAACAAATAATCGAATTAAGAATTTAAGATGAGCCACTCTATCATCATTGACTTATCTATAAACGTGCAAAAACATTATACCAAGTATATGATTATAGTGTTAGACCATAGGTTACATACATCAATGTATTACTATTAATTTATTATTCTAGTCATTTAACATTATCATAAAAGAGGTTTATAACGTGAAACGTATACATTAAAAAAAACAAAAATATGTAATATCCTTATTCATTATAAACAAACTCCGGTAGTGAGATCTTCATTATTATGAAATAATAAGATAGATTCATCCATAATAATCAACTAATTACAAGCTAAACATTCACAAATTGTGAAATAAATCATAGAGTTAAGTCTATTTGCTCTTCCGTTTAATCCTTAATTCTTTCTTTTTCTCCATTGCTTGTTGTTTCTTTTTATTGTCGTTGTAAGATACAGCCGACCAGTATCCAGTGGTTTGACTAAAATATTTCGGCGTTGACCAACACTCAGGCTTTTTAACCCTAACTTTTTTCTTTTTATTCTTTTCTTCTTCCTTCTCTTCTACTCGTACCAATTGTTTTGGTATAGTTTGCTTCAAGTCATAAGGATACCACTCAGCAACTTTGTCACCAATTAGCTTCTTCCTTAGTACCTTATGAGCGGATCTTTTGGCCGTGGGGTTAAGTACGTGCCCAAATATTTGTGCCCTTGCTTCCGACACTCCTTGCACCCCCGCCGCTGCCACCACATACTTTAGCTTACCTGTTGCACTCATCAGTCACAAAAATCTTATACCTAAGTCATAAATTTAATATCAGAATTGATCAATAATAATCACAAAATTAGGGCAATTGCTCAATAAAAATAAAAAAAACGTATATTTATACATGAGCCTAGAATGCCATGCAAAGCAAGCCAAAGATCTTGGTGGATACAAAAATCAATAGGTTTAGGAAAACTAACATATATCCTAAAATAAGATAAAATGGAATATACGTAATAGTAAAAAAAAAATAAAAAATAAAACCTTAAAATAGGGAGGAAATTAGCCTAAAAGGCACATTATGTATGCTAACTTTACTTTTTAGTAGCACCGAGATTTCTTGGGCTAAAAGGAACTTCCAAAATGCAGTTTTTGTTCATATTTGTATTTCTTTTATTGTCAAAAAATATTTGTATTTATTTTGAATCCCAAAATTTAAATCAGATCATCATACTCCATAGAGCTAAAGTGAATATTGGTGCTCGTATCACGTTAAGTTTTGGAATAGTTAGATTGGTTGATAAGATGACATACACGATACACCTAATAGCTCATGAGTTGGCCAATCAAGATCCATTCGAACAAAGTTCCTACTTGAATAGACTAGTCAAATTATTAATGTTCAACTCGACTTCAGAAACTTCAAAATAAGTCAATTTGTTTAGGATGTAAACATATTGTGGTTTAGGCCAAAAAACAGTTGGTTGATTGTTTTAATCTCTTTATAAGTATGTACCATATATGCGCCTTTGACTAAAGGTATCGTACTCGTTGACTAGTTCTTATCTTTATTGTTTTTTCCCAAGTAGCAAATACGTATTGAAATACTTAATTTGACATCCATAAAAGAGCATTGTAAAATTTATTAAGAAAACAGAGTAATTTCATACATAAAAAATGTGCAAACTACCCATTTAATGAAGGTTCTAAAGCCATTATTTCCTTAGATTGATTTTTATGCTTAAGATATTGATCCAAAATAGCAAGTCTTGCAGTTTCAAATGCAAAATAACCAATAGCAGAAAAACAAGCACTATGAACAACTCTTGCACCCATTCCTCTTGTTAAACAAACCCAACCTTCTTCCATCAAAATTTGCTTGACAATTCCACTAATTCCACCATTAAAAACCACCCCTTGAAATTGTGTCATCATCCTAGTCTTTACAACATCTAATGGTGTTGTCAATGAGGCCGAAATCGCCCCGGCTAACGCCCCACAACAAACACTCTCCAATGGTGTCAACTTCTCCTTGTTTCCCTTCCTAAGTACCGCGATTTTAAGCCACTCGAAAGATGAATAACTCAGAACCCCTGCAGGTAAATTTCTTAGTAATGTAGCTGAGTAACCAGTGTACAAACCTAATACACCGCCTTTTCTCAAAATTTGGGCTAATATTTCCCATGATTTTCCCTTTGCACCAGCTTGCATTCTTTGGGTTATTAACTCTTTAGGTACCATTATTGCAGATGACACAATACTTCCCATTAAACTAGCTGTAGGAGGGACTAACAAAGAGGGGAATTCGTCAAATTTCGACAAGAATGATTTACTAAACTCACAAGTTCCAAATAATAAAGCAGATGAGAATGTTGAACCAACTATTACAGCAGATATGCCACTGTAAAACCCTGATATTCCTTTAGTTTGGAAGGTCTTAATGATCGCGTCGAGGGTATTTTTGTAAATTTGGCTAGCCCCTTTAGTCTGAAGCTTTGTTTTGATGGTGTCTAGTGGGTGTAGACAGAAGTAAGTGAATGCACCAGCAGATGCTCCTGCTAACGTGCCAATGAAAGCACGTTCGAAAACCGATAGGCTATTCATGGAGGATTTTAGTGATATATGAGAAGTGGCTGGTGGTTTTTTTGGTGTTGGTGGTTGGAGTTTGAGTTGCATGGACATGGAGGTACAGAGGAAATGAGGGAAAGGGACATTGTTGGTGGATTTTCGGGTTTTCGGGGAGATGAGGATGGTGTTAAGGTTGGAGAAAAGGGTGTTGAAATGGAGATCAGAGGTTGAGTTGCAAGGTAATGGTAGAATAGACATTGATGAATTGGAAGAAGAGTTTAGAGTTTCCATGGTTAAGTTTCTTGTTTTTGAGTTTGTGTATGTTTGAGTGTTTCTGTTTTTGTAGACATCATGTTTAGAGTTATTGGAAAAAACATAATGATTCATGCCTTCTCAATATAATTTTATAGTAAAAAAAAATAAAAGGACTTCTTCTTGCCTTCTTCTTTTAGGAAATGAATGATTGTGGTGAGACTATGTTCAAGATAACAAAGAACAACAAAGTATATCAATTAAGAATAAAGTATTAAAAGTGGGTACAAGATATTAAAATGTGTATTTCATCCAAAAAAAACAGGATATTAAAATGTGTAGAATAAACCTTTCATAAATGTTGAACCATTTTTTTTTTTCTTGAACATAGAAATCATATGTTTATTACTGTTACATGTTCTGATTTTTTTTATCTTCACACTAAATATGCCCTGTTTTCAAAAAAGTTTTTGATAAACTCCATACATAATAACATTTGGAATTTCATTCTCCTCTTTGTTAAAAATCATATGCTTCTATGTGAAATGTATACAATCGGGTATGTCTAGATTATTTTATATTGGAGATACAACGGGGTGGAAACCCCAAAAGAATCATCACTCAACATACCCGAAATCCACCAAGGCAACAGAGCAAGTCTATAGTAAATATAACTTTCTTTTGCCCAACTGAACCACAACACAATGTACCTGCCTTAAGAATTTAAGATGTTCCTACTACTACTAGTATTTACATACTAGATCTACTAAAATAAATACAAACTCCCAAGATCAATCATTTTGAGAAGTATTTTGAGTTGAAATGTAACTCAAGCAGTTCAAATACACTAACATTCTCTGCTTCTGCCTGCTATTGTACTCCAAATTACTACAAAATTGTGGAGTACATGAATCTTCATCCAAATCCAAGTGAAGTAACAGTATGTTTCGAGGACATATTGCGTCATCAGGCTTCCTTTTTCCGGGGTAAACGATAAAACATCATCCATGAAAACAAAATGATACATTCAACTAGACTAGAGAGGTACCGAGTCTACTGACTACTCAGTACTAATACATTGACAAATTTGACTTAGTACAACATCTAGAAAATCCAAAGGTACACCTGAGAGCATTCTGGTACATATTTACAAACAAAAAAGACCATCTGATTTCCTCACTTCCGAAAACTCAAAACACCTACTTAGTCTTATGTGGAAGCTCTAAGGATATGAGAAAAGATACTCAGAGGCCTAACCAAAAAGATGCTGAAAACAACAACAGATGGGAAGTTGAAAGAGCTCCTCATTTCGCTGGATTGCTTATCAACTTCACCTACCTCATGGGGCGTCTTCTTGAACTGCAAGGATATACAAACAAATTAGCCCCATAAAAAAACCTTAATCCGGAATACTTATCATATGGTTAAAGACCACCGAACTATACATGGTCTCCACTTATCATGAAACCATTTCAAACAAGATTAATGCTTCGAGCATAGGGTAGATTTTACACATCACTTTCTAGGTCCAATTACAGATGCTGGGGTGAATATCTTAAATCATGAAATCATTCCTCATTTCCTGCCCATAATATAGAAGAGAATACCAGTCACATGTAAGTGCATTGACAAGGTCAAGGGATCGAGGACTCACTGCTCAAGAAAAAACCCTGGAGCAAGCTCTGGGCTCGCTCAGCCTGCTCTGGAGTTCCCCTTATCCTGATGACTTTTTCAGTTAGCTCAGGTTCATCATTTATCAGAGAAACATTGGCACCAGATAACTGCACAAGCATACATAGGGAGTTTAATTGACTTGTTAAAATAAAAGGATATAAGGGAGCAAAGTAATTGCTAGATGTATTATCACCTCGCTAATTTGAGCCAGTTTGTTTTTGGATTTCCCTAGAAGCCTTGTAACTGCATATTCTGGTATGACAACTTCCAGAGTGCTCCTAGTGACCATAGGTAGCTGGATCCTGCCACTGAAAAACAAAACGATGCACATGTGCATAACAATTAAACATGCATGAATAATGCACATGTGCATAACAATTAAACATGCATGAATAATTCATATAATAGGATAAATTATTTAAAAACTTATAAGGATTACTTGAAAACCCTTTTTCCCTTGAATAAATTATTAATCCTTAAAAGGATTACTTGAAATCCCTTTTTCCCTTGAATTTTTAAATTCATATAAGAAATCTGAGATATGTACCTGTTCAAGCTAGTTGGTGTATCTTCACGGCGACTGCTGGCACTATCTTCACGACGGTCACTTTCATTATGTCTTGATGTTTCGCTGCTTGACAATCCAGCATCCTTCAAGAATATCCAAAATTCATATAATGAAACATGTTGAAGTTGAATTTTCTAAAAACAAGCTACAAACAGTATAATAAGGCCCCTGTCTAACAACTAATCTGCTGCTCAAACCATGCTCATATTTCTATGCACTCTCAAATCAGACACATGAGAACTGATACTGTTGTGAATCTTGTGATAGAAGAAGCTAGAAGATGAAGGTAAAGTGTTTAAGCTGAAAAATAAGAGTAAACAATCTGTTTTACATGAGAATCAATACTGTTGTGATAGAGGAAGCTTGAAGCTCATTTCTAGATAAAAGATAAGTGTTTAAGCTGAAAATTCAGGGTAAACAATCTGTTTTACAAAACATTTACATCAGAATTTTTAGTGCCTGCATGCTATTAAGGACACATCACTCTATCTACATGTACAGCTTAAAAGGTATTACTGGAGGGGGGGGGGGGGGGGGGGAGAGAGAGAGTATCTAACTCTAAAAGCTTGTAGTTTTAGGATTTAAACCTTGGCAAGTAAGACAATAGGAATTTTTAATTTCTATCAGAGACAACGGAATATTTCTTCAACTAGCACTAAAATTTATAGCTCGCATAAAAAGCAAAATAAATTTCCATACAAAGAAACAAGTGACCCACAAATACCTGGGTGGCTGGGTTCATCAAGGAGCCATAAATGATAGTTCCATACACATGGAATTGACATATGATGCAAACAATTTCACATATCAATAGCATCAGCAGCTATATAGTCTCTCTAAACAACAACAGCAACAAAGCCTCAGTCCCAAAATGTTATTACACAGACCAGAAATTGATGATTATGTGTATATCACTGGGCTATGGATAAATGAAATAAGTCAGAATCAATGCATGCTATTCCTTGGATAAAGCACAATTTTCATAAGACTATAAAACTAAGGGAATACTGCTATTGAAAGACATACAATACACACATTTCACCTTTACAAAATTAGCTTTTCAATTCATTCCAAAGGGTAGAGCCTTTTTTAGACATTATATGTGCTAATAAACCAAACATCTACAATCAAACTTCTTGTTCCCTCAACCTCCCTCTTCAGGAAAAGAAAAAAAAAATCCTATTCGTTCTTAGTTTATTGCTTTATTCATTTGGAGAGTGCTGGACCAAAGGGGAGAATCTCACATACCTTATTTGGTTGTCCAGCGGCAGTAGTTTGCACATTTTGAGAAACTACAGCTTCATTACCCAATGATTCATAAGCAGGAGCAGAATTGTTTGCTGGTTCTGGCCCAGAAGGCCCATTTCCGAAAGAGCCTGGAGCTGGGTCAGGTGGTGGAAGCATATCCCTCTGGAAAAAATCTTTATATAGATAGCTCCTTAGTCTAGCAGTCACCTCAACCAGAGCTTCACGAGCTGCTTTAATCTCCCCAACAATCTGCAAATGACACAAGCTAATGAGAAAAGATTGTACATACTAGATCTCAGAGTTGATCCTGAGCAAGATGCCTGGGTGATATTTCCAAAGAAAAGATTCTTTAGCTGAAATTCTGAACAGTTATAGGAAACAAAGTTCTAAACTTAGCATGACATTATCATACCTCGACATGAAAAGCACTAGCAATGAGCCAATGACAAAAGAAAATTTTTAAAAACTAATGGCCAAGATCACATTCCAGTATATCAGCATACAGGCTAACTATAACCTGTTGCTTTGTGAGCAAATTCTTGATCAATATATGGCGTTATTTTCCAAAGATGTAACATTGTGATAGTTCACTATAAAAAAAATTCCCAAGTGTTGAAGGCTCTAGTATGATCAATATCAGAATTGGTCACATATTATCAGTTATGGACTCATGGTGCCATTAGAGCAAAAGTGATGGAGTATGCATGCAACAAGCGCCTCTCACAATATATTGTAAAGCATAAAAAACAGCAAAATTCACACACAAAAATCAACAATTTTGAGACATCTACAGTTACACTTATATATGTACCTGGACAAGCTCATCAGAGCCTGATATGTATGCTGGAACTTTCTCCCTTGGAAGGACTTCTACATCTGCACCAGTTAATTTTTTCAGCTTAGATAAAGATCCATCTCCTTCTTCTAAGCATCCAATATCATTACACGCTATAAGCAGCCTTGTAGTGACAATATTATCCTTGTCTGGAACTAAATCCACAATTCGAGTCTGTACATGCAGCAACGCTTCCTGAGCTGGAAACAGTTCATCATCGGGCCCCTAGGCAAGTCACAAAGAAGAGAAAACCATCAGTAACTTATTATGGGAATATGTTAGCCCATCTATCAAAACAGAAGCTTCGAGACAGCTGAATAGCAAATGACAAAGAGAGACTACAACTATCAGTATAAGTACCTCATCAGATGATATAATAATTATGCGCTCATCTGAATCATCCGACGGTTCAGAAACCTTAACTTCCACACCAATTTCATTTTGAAGAACGTCCATGATCCCACTGGAATCCCCTACTACACTATCAACCCTGTCATTTGGGCAAAGTATTCGAAATACAAGGTCTTCAAAAGAAGGCTGAAAGTTCTCAGTACGGTTACCACCTTCAGACTCATACATATAACCACCCGATCGAGATGAGTAGTTATTGCCCCTGTTATTAGAAGAATTTAATCGAGAACTGTAAGGGGCACCATCCATAGAAGATCTGCGATTCATGTGTGGATTGAAGTCTTCTTCAACAAAGCGTTCCTCTGAGTTGTTATGTCGCCCCTGGTATTGAGTGCGATCACGGTGCTGGCTCTCTCTTAAACGTGATGAAATTATAGATATGGCACTCTTTACAGCATTTGTATCACCAACAACCTGAGGTATCACAATAGTGAGTTATTTTGCATACGTTGAACATGATATAGTTAAGTAAAAATTAATATAGAAACAACACAGTGAAATGAAACACATTTTGTTTCTAGAATTTGGCCATAGGAAGTCCTTCAACAGCACAGTTTGAACTGAAAAGCAATATAATCACAGAAGCAAAGACTTCATGGGTCAGATATGTGAGAAGCAAATACTTTGTCAATTTACATGATGGCATCATTAACTTAAATTGTTACGAAATACGGAGTCTGTAGCATCTGGTCCAACGAAAAACAAACTAACAGAGACAACTATCCCATCACTTTGTCAATTCATTGTGTGGAATTACCCTAAAAGAAACAATACAAATGAGCACTTTGGTCTGTTCAAAATCCAAATCCAAAGAGAACATTCAAGAGTAGACATGTAATAAAAATGTTATCTCCAATAACAAAAAGAACAGCAACTGTCCAGAGTTTATAAAGCAGAGAAAAAGAGAGCAAAAGTTGGAGAGCTCAACGATGCAAGAAGCTCTACCGCTAGCAC